CAAGAGAGCGTCTATACTGGCAAGCACCTTTGCGCAAAAGCATCCATGCCAGTGTAGACGCTCTCTTGCGCAAAAACTTTTAACAGAAAAGTTTTTCTGTCAAAAGTATTTGCGCAAGAGAGCGCCAATGGCCATTTTAGCCATCAGGCTTTCTTATACAAGAAATTAACATTGGGGCTGCATCTAGACTGGCAAGATTTTGCGCAAAAGCACTTGCTTTTGCGCAAAATCTTGCCAGTCTAGATGCAGCCCCAATGTTAATTTCTTGTATAAGAAAGCCTGATGGCTAAAATGGCCATTGGCGCTTTCTTGCTCAAGAGAGCGTCTACACTGGCACGGATGCTTTTGTGCAAAGGTGCTTGCCAGTGTAGACGCTCTCTTGCGCAAATACTTTTAACAGAAAAACTTTTCTGTTAAAAGTATTTGCGCAAAATCATGCCAGTCTAGACGCAGCCCTAAGGGTTACATTCACTCTCGTAGCTATTCAGTTTATCTATCATGGTCACCAAGGCTATGTTTAGACTACACCCCTCTGTCGGCAGAGGGATGTAAATGAAGCACTTCAAAAGTGCAAATGAAGCAGGGATTTAAATATTCTGCACTTCATTTGCATAATCACGTAATGGCGCTCTTTCGAAAATGCTATTTTGAAATTGAAACCGCAGTCTAGACTCAGTTCTTTCAAAAAAGGGGTGCTCAGGCTTACAGGATCTTTTGAAAAAGCGCCCTGTTTTCGAAAGAACTGCATCTAGACTGTACTTTCAATTTTGAAATAGTACTTTTTGAAAGAGCACCATTGTGTGATTATGCAAATGAAGCGGGGGATATTTAAATCCCTGCTTCATTTGCACTTTCGAAGTGCCCCATTTGCATCCCTCTGCCGACAGAGGGGTGTAGGCTAGGCACACCCACAGGGTTTGTTTACAGAGAAAAAACCACTCGTGGCAGCAAGTCTCAGAGCCCAGGTTACCTGACTCAGGTTCATGGGGCTTGTGGTGTAGAATGAAAAGTAGCCTTGTAGACACTGTCTCATGCTGGAGATGGGCTCCGCAGCTCTCTCCCCTGCCCTTTGCACCCTACGTGTGACCTTGTATCTGGCTGTATTTGTAGGCCTAGCTTACCTGTCAGTCCAGCTGGTCTATTTAACTCACCTGGCATCTTCATTATTTACCACTCGACCTATTTTTCTATCATCTGCAAATACCCTGAGACCCTGGCATGGTCCCAGGGCCAGAGTCTTCATTCTGCTCAAACTGCACGGAGCTCTGGAACGGAAAGGCAGGGGAGCTGCTTGCCCTGTAAATGGCGTATGCAGCTGGGGCTGGACTAGCTGGAGCACAGTGACTGGCACATCCCTGTTCATTCAGCCAACTCTGCATTGTCTAGAGATCCCCGTCTGCAGAGTGTTCCCTGGAGGGGCCATTTCTCCAGGGCTAACGGCCCCTTCTTGCGATCAAAATGGGATGGAGAGTTGGCGCCAGCCTACAATCTAGTCTCGCCCTGCTCTCAGGTCAGCAGTGACACTTCACTTCCGACTCGGCAGCCCCCAGTGAGCGTGACTTTTGCCTTGTGGCTTGGGAGTTGGAATTACCACACGTCAGGAAATTCTCAGCTGAGGTGCCAGCTTAATTGATTGAAGAGATGCAGGGAGAAGGGTAGATCAATGCCCATCCCAGGCTGTCCCTCTGTGTCCTAGTAGGGAGTCATGCCAAGGAAGGGAAATCAGACTGAGCAATGTCTTGAGTCTCTGTTAGCAAAGCAGAGTTGCCAATTCTGATGATTTAATTGCAAGTCTCAAGCTATTTGCTATTAAAAAATACAAAACAAAACACCAGCTCCTGGAACTGTGATTAGGCAAGAACCTCGGATTTCTTTCCTTTTCTTTCAAAAAAGCAAGTTTCTAGCGCTGATGGCTATAGAGAAACTGAAAAATGTTGCCTGAATGAACCCTAAAGTCTCATAAGGCAAAGAAAAAAAAACCCCTAAATGTGTCTTTAAAAAAAATCTTCTGAATTATATCTCCTCATTCATGGGAGCCAGATCTAGGATATGTGAAGACTTGCGGGGGTCATAAGAACGGCCAGACGAGGTCAGACCAAGGGTCCATCTAGCCTAGTACCTTATCGTCCAACAGGGGCCAGAGGGAGTGAACAGAGCAGGGAATTGTCAAGTGTCCCTCCCCTCCCCCCTTCCCAGCTTCTGACAAATAGAGGCAAGGGACACGATCCCTGCCCATTTTGGCCTCACTTCCTTGAATTAATCTAACTCTTCTTTGAATCCTGTGAGAGTCCTGCTCTTCACCACATCCTCTGGCAAGGAGTTTCTCAGGCTGACTGCGCTGTGTGAAGAAAAACTTCCATTTCTTTGTTTTAAACCTGCTGCCTGTTCATTTCATTTTGACCCCTACTTTTTATGTGAGGAGACCAAGTCAATAACTTGTCCTTATTCACGTTCTCCATACCTATCATGATTTTATAGACCTCTACCGGATTTCCCCCTTAGCCTCCTCACTACTAAGAAGGGCCATTCTATAACTGGCAGGCATCCCCATAGGAACCCTTCAAGCCAAGGCCAAATCTATACGAGCCCCCAGCCTCTCTCCTTCCAGGCCAACACTTTTGTTGCTATGGGCTGAGGCTGGCCTCAGGTGCTCTCTGTACTGCCCATTTCCTCCTGCTCTGGAGGAACTTAAGAATTTTCTGCTTAGGGAAAGCTGCCCAAACCCAGAGTCATAGGCTGTAAGGCCAGACTTCCCACCTATCACAAGCCAAAGAGGTTCACTAGGTAGCTCTGCATTGAGCTCAGGAACTGGAGCCTGAGTAAAGTGTATCTTACAGAAAGGCCTCTGGTCTGGATCTGAAGACCCCCAGAAATGGAAAACCAGCCCCTTCCTGAGTAGTTTTTGTTCCAATGGTGAATGATCTGGTTACAACTGGTGCCTTGTTTCTAACTGACCAGCTTCAGTGTCCAGCCATTGGTTCTTGATCTGCTTCTCTCCTCATGGTGGAAGCTTGTTCGTACTCAGTATTTTCTCCTTGTGCAAGTATTTCTGCGCTGTAATCACATCCCCTCTTGCTCTTCTTTTGGAGAAAGGAAACAGACTGAGCTTCAAGTCTTTCCGGTCTGGCACTTCCCCAGCCCTTGCATGGGAGTCAGCTGAGAGCCTGGTCTGAATTTAGCCCAGAGTGTGCAAGGCATCCCAGCTCTGTGACTCATGGCTCTGACTTGGAGCTGCCCTTTCCAGGCAGACTTCCCGAGTTGGACTTTATAACCTTCCAGGCTGCAGCAGGGGCCCACAGTGCAATCAGACTCTGCTCCCTCCAGGCCTGATAAACTCACCAGCTGGTCACTTTCTCTTCACACAAAGGTCAGGCATGAAACTTCCCGGCAGTAGGGCTGAGAGTAATGCAGGGCTAACGGCTATCTAGGCACCCAGCCCTCCAGCATCATCCTGTCCCCCAGCTACCAACTTAAAACAGCTCCACTTACTCCCCATCCCACCTGTCCAACAACCTCACCATTCAGCCGCTGGCTGCAGAGGCTTCCCCCGGCCTGTGATTAACACCCTCGCCCAACAGGCTCTCAGTTGGGGCAGATGGCATTGCAATGGGAACAGCGCAGGAGGGTAGATTCTGACCACTCGGGATTCACGACTTGGGCCATGAGTCCGTCAGTGTGTTCAGAATGGGCGTGGCTTGTCATGCTGGTGCCAGCCAGCCTTTTTATGCCTTGCTTTCCTCACCGGCACCAACTCATACCCTAGGCCCAGAATGCTGCAGGAGCGGCAGGCATGTGCCAGTGCTGAGGGGAATATGCCAGAGCCTAGGGGTCCCAGGGGGTGTTGTGAGGCTGCTGGGGCCCCCCTCCCTGAGTTACACACTTTCCTTGACACCAGTGTGAATCTGCAGCAGATGGTTCATTTTACGCACACACACATCTCAGTATCTTTATTAAAACCAAGATTTGTTAATCAGCATGTGTGGCATTTCCTCATTCTTTCCCAGAGCGTGAAAAATTGGCCGTAATGGGAAATAGGGGAGTTTTGGTTTTGGAAAGAGATGGAAAAGTTGCAAGATGATTTTTTCTCCATAACTTGTTTGCTAAAGCCCTCCCTAGTCCCGTTGTGAACAGCCCAGTGATGGGGCTCTCACCCCATCTTCTGAGAAACAGCTTTCCAGCTGGCTCCCAGTGGGTCATGGGGCTCCTGCCCCATCCCCTCAGCAATCTAGATCAGGTGTCTCACTGTAAGGAAGATTCTCCTGAGCGTCAGATTAACTTTTCTGTTGTTCAGTTTGATCCAGTTCTTCGTAATCCTGTCTTCCAGGGGTGTGCCCAGAGGGACCATCCTCTTCCTGTCCTGTGTCCTGAGGCCTGTGCTTGTGAAACCTGCTGGTATATTGGCCTTTTTGTTTCTCTTGCTATACGCTCACATTGCAGATTCCAGGTTTCTCCCTTGCTGAATTTCTGGGTTTGGATAAATGTTGCCAGCTGTAGTGGCTGCATTTTTCCAAATTAAGTCTAATTTTCTTTCCTGGCCATGTTTCTAACACCAGCCCTTTGTGTTGTTTCATTACCCTCACTGGTATTTGTAACTCACATCTGCTGTAAACTCTCTTGCCCTACTTGCAGGTGTTAACAAACATCCTGTGAGTTCTTTCTCTGTGTGCCCCATTATTTCCTTAAGACCAGAAGGGAGATTTATCAGCTTGTGCCCAGAGCAATCTTGTCATGTTTTCCACCACCAGGGCCTCTTCCTGTTATAGCAACGAGAAGTCCCGTGGCACCTTATAGACTAACAGATTTATTGGAGCCTAAGCTTTTGTGGGCAAAGACTCACTTCCTCAGATGCACTAGGGCCTCTTCCTATTATAGCATCTGTCACAGGCCACCTGTGAATACCAGAGGGGTTTGAGGGTATGCCAGAGGGAGAGGCTCATGCACAGGTGTTCATGGCACAGTGTTCCAATGGCTGAATAACACCATCCTACACAACACCCTCTGATTGCACCTTCCCTCCCAACAGCTAGTGCAGCCCACTTGTGTTCCCAGGTCACACTGGTTTCCTCCTTTCGCCCTTCTTAGCTCTGGGGCAGCTCCTGTCACAGTGCCTACAGAATCCCTCAAAGCCCTTGCCAAGTAATATGCCTCTTGCTTTTTTCCTACAAGCATTAACAGAGGCTGGTGCCCACTGCACCATTTTTTGTCTGAGGAATTTAGCACCTGTACAAAGCATAACTCGACAATTCCTGCGCCTGAGGGCGTATTATCCCCTGAGACTGAAGGTGAGACCCAGGGGCCAGGAGCTAAATTGGGGTGGAAGAAGGGGCTTAATATAATAGTAAATGTACATTTATTCCTATGTCCAAGCCTCCCCAAAACGAGTCATTTGGGGGTTTTAAGGGTTTGTTCTTTCCATAGAATGGGGCCCTAAATGAGAGGTGGGGCAGGATGCCGGTGCCTTGGACTGGGGCGGGGGCAGGAGCCTGGGAAAAGGCACAAGACAGGAGCAGGCAGATACGTTGGCCTGGTGCAGGGAAGGGGGCGAAGGGCAGCTGTGATGTGAAACGAGATCTGGATGAGATTGGTGAGAACTGTGCTCGGCAAGGTCAGGAAGTTTCTTTTGAGCGGAGGAATCCAGTGGGCAGGGGATGTGGCAGGACAGACCCAGCCAAGTGAGTTTCTAATGGCGGCTGGGGGTAGAAGGAAACTCTTGTCTCTCTTGGGCTGCAGACAGACCTAGCTGTCCCTGACTTGCCTCCCAGCCTCCAGCACTTGAAGTGGCACACAGCCTTTCCCAGAACGGCGTTATGCTGACCTTGAGGAATGAGAGGCATTGGAGCCCAGAAGGGTGAGCATGGACCCCCTTCCCCAGGGCCATCCAGGAGCCCTTCGCCAGCACTGGGGGGATGGGAGCCAGCATGGGGAATAGGTTATGTGAAGGGTCCTTTCTCAAGGAGCGCCCAAATGGTGCAGACGTTTGCTGGCGTTGTCTGTTTCTGACCAAGGGTGGCATTTCGCGCTGGGCATGGGAAGCCTGCTGGCTCGTGGAGGAGCTACTGGATCAGCAGCATCTCCAGGGCAGGAGTTCTGATTCTGGGACTGAAACAGCACTTTGCTTTGACCTGCACCACTCTGTACTGTGAGCAGAGTCTGGGGGAGCAGGCTTCCCTGGGTCCGGGACTGGAGCAGAGCATCTCACATCTCAGTGGGGACAGGGACAGAGGGCCATGATGCCCTGCTTCTGGCTGGCAAATTCTGCTAGACCTTAAGTATTTCGGCCAGTGTTTGGGCTGGGCTGGGCACTAAGGAGGCATCCCGGGCAGTGGCCAGAGCTCCAGGAATGCTGGCTCTGTGCTCAGCTCCAGCCCTGACTCCTTAAGTAGGGGTAATGATGCCAGCCTGTCCTTTGTGGAGCACACTGGGACCCAGAGCTGGGAAGAGCCATGTATTATTGCTGGCAAGTGCTGTGAAGATCAATCACTGATCCCAGACGCCCCATCCCTGAGGTACGTGGTCTCTCAGCAGGGCTCCTCTTGCATTTCGTGTCCCTCTTCTGTTCTTTCTCGCTTTGCAGGCTGACCGACATGGCAGCTGCATGAGGCCCATGCAGCCAGCTGTCGAGCCCCCTGCTTCTCTTGCAGGGACAGTCAGTGGCTTCGGGGCCCTGTTTACCGTCCAGTTAATAAATGAACAGGAATCAGTGAAACTCTCCAAAGGCAAGAGCTGGCTCTGAAGTCATCCCAGCTCTGGGGTGGGTGGGAGCCCTGATGCTGAAGCTCAGAGCTGAAAAGCATTGCAAGCTGTGCAAGACTCTTCCCCGACCCAGCTCTCCTCCCTTCCCCCCACCCGGCAGGTGCAGTGGGCTGGCACTTGGCTGCGAGACTGCAGAGAGCTGGTTAAAGTTTGCACATTAGTTCCTGTCAAGCTGTCAGGAAGGGAACTCTGAGATCTGCGTTAATCCCAGTGCAAAGTGTCGGGAGGGGATGTCTCAGTTGCTCTGGCCTCTTCTGAGATTCCTGCTTCTGTTGAGAGTGGCAGCCTCTGTGAACTTTTTCCACCATCGCTATGAGCAGCTTGTGCAGGCCCTGTACAATGTGCACAATGAGTGTCCCGAGATCACCAGGATTTACAGTATCGGCAGCAGTGTCCAGGGGAGAGAGCTCTATGTCCTGGAATTCAGTGACAACCCTGGAGTCCATGAACTCTGTAAGTACCAACAAGAGGAGGTTTGGGGGGGGGGACTTGTATCTCTGCATGTTGCTGTCTGTGCCACACCAAGGTCGCATGCACACGCGCGTGCACACACACACACACGGATCCCCCGTCTAGTGCAGCTCTGCTCCCTGGTAATTCCAGGGAAGTCGCTGTCAGCCCTGCACTGAGCTATGCTCAGTAGCCTCCATACTCAGGGATGTCCAGGTGGCCCATCCAGTAATTGTAGCCACAGGACACCCGCTTCAGAAAGTGAGGTAGTGAGTTGGTACAGACTCTCTCCCATCTCCCTCACTGTGGCCCACCAGTGCTGAGCAGAGGGTCTGTTGTGGGGTGGGGAAGCAGCCAGGGTAGCCAAGCTGGCTATAACATTCCATGCTCAGGTCCTTATGACATCCCAGCACTGAGATACATAGATATGAAAACAATCAGAGTTCACAAATGGTGAGTGAGGCTACATAAAAACAAAACTATGACATGCTTCCTAGAGTTGAAACTTGACTTTGATACTGAAATCTTTGTCGAAAGCAGTTTCTCACCTAAAGCCATTACCCAGCATTACTAACCTGCATGGTTAGGGTCCAGCTTTCATGAATCCAGAGTAGCATTGTCTTTTTTGCTTCCTCAGTGGAGGATGAAAAATATGTCTCTCTGCCTTTGTTATATCCCAAAGGTCATTGTTCTTGTCCCTAGAATCAAGAGGACCCCCAATAATGTTTTCAAGTTGCCGTTGTGCCCTACTGATGACTACAAATGTAAAATGTTCCCATTGTATTTGCTTACAATGTTCAATTACACAGCTGACAGTGAGACAGGTGAATCAGCCTCCTTTGGCACAAAACCTGTTTGTTATTTATCCCTGACCTGAGTGAGACTTTCAAACATCTTTAGTACAAACTGCTTAGACTGTGCATCCCGGAGTGACCCTGGGACCGGCATGACGTAAGCTCGTATTTGACACTGCCCATGGCCTGCTTTGGAGGAATACCAGTATGTGGGGGGAATGGATTTGGCAGGCCTGATGGGAACTGCTGTTCCAGAACAGTGCACCCGTGGCCAGGAAGCACGGTGGAGTTCATAGGGTCACCGGTGCAGACAAAACCATTCCAATTGAGGTTAAGCAGAACCTTCGGGGGTGGGGGAGGAGGCAGCCTCTCCGTGGCTGTCAAGCTCAAGGAAGTCTAAGGTGTTGCGGAGAGTGCAAGCATAATCTGTGCTTCATGCCTCCTTCTTCCCAGCTAGTGCCGTCAGACAGGGGATGCTGCCTCCTCTCTCAGGAGCTTGGCAGCATCTCTGGGGGCTGGGCTGTGATGCTGAGGTGCTATCCCTTGCCAGCAAACATCGCCTGGGTCTTATCAGGAAACAGGCTCCTAAAACTCATAGCCTCATAGCTACTTCCTACCCTGCTCTAGCCTTTTATACTGCAAGGGGCGCTTACGTCCCAGTGCAGGGGTGGGCAAAATACTGCCGGGGGGGCAGATTTGGCCCCCTAAACCTTAGGATCCAACCCACCACAATCCTCTGGGCTGCCCACGTCCTACGGCTCAATGGGAGCCTCAGGCAGGTTCCCTACCCGCAGCTCAAAGCGGCTGGCTGCTGGGGCAAGTGTGTGTCCCTGCACCGTGTGCGCCCCGTGGAGGGGAGGGAACTCCAGAAACACCAATGGGAGCTTCCTGGGCCATGCGCATGCAGCACAGGAAGTCCTGCTCCCCTCCAAGGGCTCAGCGATGGACATGGCCCCATCCATGAGCAGTGTGTGGGGGTGCGACAGGCAGGAAGCCTGCCCAAGGGTCCTGCTGAGCTGTTGATTAGGGGCCACCTATGGTAAGTGTCTCCTGGCCAGAGCCTATACTTGGCACCCCACTTTCTCCTTCCCCTCAACTTTCTGCCCCAGGTCACAACCTCCTCCCGCACCCAAACCCTCTGCATCCCTGCCCCAGATCACAACCCAACCCTGCACCCCTGCAGAAGTAATGGAATCGGCTAATTGAAGTGTCATATGTAAGACCTAGGAGGTAAGTGTCCCTTTCTGCTTGGCACTGGTGAGGCTCCAGCAGGAGTGCTGTGCCTGGGATTGTTGCACACGTCCGGAAGGAGGTGGACAAACCGGTGAGAGGCTAGCAACAAAATGATCAGAGGTTTAGAAAACCTGACCTATGGGAAAAGGTTAAAACACTGGGAATGTTGAGTTTTGCAAAAACCAGAGCGAGAGGAATGTGATCACACTCCTCAAATATGTTAGGGGCTGCTCTCCAGGGGACTGTGATCAGTTGTCCTCCATGCCACTGAAGGTAGGACAAGGAATGGGCTGCGTGTGCAGCGAGGAGATCTATGCTAGCCCCTCAGAGTTACAAACTGACACTCAGCTGCACACCGCATTTGGAACCAGCAGCACACAATCAGGCAATATAATTCATACACACGTGCAAATACTGCACTTTATGAAAGGTAAACTACTAACAAATACATGGAAAGTTTAAAAAAGAAGTTACAAGCTGAGGAAACCGTTTCTGTGCTTGCTTCGTTGAAATTAAGATGGCTAAAAGCTGCACTTTTCTTCTGCATAGTAACATTTCAAAGCTGTGTCAGGTTCGTGTTCTGTTGTGAGTCGTTAAAAGAACATCCCTAATGTTTGGTTCCGAGTTCTGAGCAGCCTCCATTCCTGAGATGCCTGACTCTGCAGTTCTGCTGTATTAGAAAAATCCTTAGAACTAAAAGAGAGTTAAGCCGTGGAATTGGCCTCACCCTTGGTTGAGGTTTTAAAGAACAGGTTGGACAAACAGGTCTGGGCTTGTGTTCCTGAGGTCCCACCCTGCCATGGGCAGTGGCATGGGTGAACCTGGGGCTTGGAGAGGCTAATCTGTGGCCCAGGCTGCCCCTTCTGCCTGAGGATCTGTCCGTCCCACCCAAGCCCAGATACCCCACCCCAGCACACTGGGTGGGTGGTGTGGCCTCCCTCCCCCTGCCCTGGAGCATCCAGCAAGTGTGTGGCACGGGACAGGCGGGAGCCAGTACCTGCAGAGCCACCTGTAGACGCAGCAGCACCAGGGAGAGGGGGCAGGCGGGAGTGGGTGCATATAGGGAGCCAGCTTAAAAGTCGCTGGCTGCTCCCCACACTGCTGCCTCTGATACAGGGTGGGGGGGAACAAGAGTCAGTGCTGGCGAGGACCTTAAAAGCCACCTCCCCACACGTACTGGCTCCCTCCTTCCCATTTCCCTCCCACACTGCATGGGGGGCGCATAGAACTGTGAGGGTTAGCTGGTGAGCCCAGGCTCATCAGTTCACCATGCACTTGGCTATACGTTGACATCCCTAGATGCTACTATTGATGAGTGAGTTTCCTGAGGAAATGAGAGCCCCCGGCCTGGCCCCACTGTGCTCGGTATGGGACAAACACAAATCATTTGGGTCATTCATTGGTTCTGCTCAGAGGTGTCACTGGGTTGCCTCATCGCACACTGACCCCTTGTTCATGGGATTAACTGGCTGCACTCCCTATCCCAGCCCCCGCCCTTCCTGCTG